TCTGCTGCTCGGCTCGCCCCGCGGCCCCTTGGCTCGCTCGTCGTTGCCGGCACGGAGTCGTCGGCGCCGGTGGATTCGGTGCCAAGCTCTGTGCAGAGCCCTTGGAAAGCCTGGGAAAAGGCGCAGGCGGTTCCTGCCTTTGTGGCTCCGGCACTGCAGCGGGGCGCAGAGCGCAGGCTTCGAACCGCCGGGGCCGCATTGTGTCACATCCCATTGAATTCTGCGAACTGCATTGAAGGGCCCCGCGTGACGCGGAGCCGCATTGTGCGCGGCGCATTGTTCGCTCGCCCGCCTTCCGCCCGCTTTTCCTGGCCCCTTCTCAAAGCCTTTCCCAGCCCCCCGCCCATCCCAAGCTCTGTCTCCTTTTCCCACCTGCTGACCACGGGCTCATTGTTCTCATGGAGAAAGGGATGGGAATGGAGCTGTAAAGCCAGCGCTGCTTGGATCCACGGGGCTTTTTTAGAGCAGGGTCAGGGCATTCGCAAAGTGCTACACCAGGCCGAGTGCACGCGAATCCCCTTCTCCATGTGGGAACAGCAAAGCCCGGAAAAGGCCACAGCTGAAATATCAACAGGAAATGCAGAGGGGGCCTCCCAAAGGCCACTCTATAAATGCGTGCCAGATGGACAAGGTGAAGGGGACCAGTTTCCGTGGGGGGGACCGGTTTTCCGCGTCCCCCATGACGAGGCACCGTGAGCTCTTTGTCACGCTTTTATTTCCACAATCGCGTCTGCTCGTGCTTTGGTCACAGCTCTGAAAGGGTTTTTTTTTTTGGTAGCTGCTTGGTGTTTTCTCCCCCCGCCCCCTTTCCATAATATTATAAAATTATACAATACAGGCTAATAAATAGGTATCTGTTAGTTCACAAAGTTAAAGTGCTTGGAGAAGAGATGTAACAAGCTCTACTCTAGGCTCCAAAGTCAGGGTGGGAATGTAGTGCAGTAGGAAGCCCTGGCCCCTTGGCCGTAGCCGGTGGTTGCAAAATCCTGCAGCAAGTATCCAGTGAATCCCGAGCCTCCGGATGCACATGCCACCTGGCTCCAGTGCTCCCGAGCCTCCGGAGCCGTGCTGACCTTGCAGCAAATGGAAGCACGAGATATGAGGCCCCGCGTGACGGGCTGGGCTCGGCCTTTCGGGGTCCAAGAGGGCTGGAAAAGGCTCGGACAAGCTGTGGGATCCCCACCGCGCGCAGCCCGCGAGGAGGATCCCGATTTTCACAGTTTGGTCGTGCTCGGCTGTGGGACGCACCGTGCTCGCCCCTCTCCCACCTCCACTCCTGCATCCCGTGGGCTCTGGGGTGCGGGGAAGGGGAGCACCCCGAGCTCTGCAGCCCCCTCTGCTCTCCCTGAGGACAGGGAGCAGGTGGGGGCCATAGATAAACCCCTTAGCTGCCTACAGGGGCCTTGTGCGTCTGAGCTGCTCAGGGCCACCCGGCCCCGTCGTGGGCTCCCTGGCCCTGGGAGAGCCCCGGTGCTCTGTCTCTTCCCACCCTCCGGATCTAGTCAAGCTCCAAGGCTTTTCCATGCAAAATGCCAGCCCCACGCCTGCCCTCTCCTGCATAACCAGTGCTCATTCCTCCCATATTTACAAAATTCTAAGGGCTCCCAAGGTCCAGTTCTTCCAGCCCCTCCAGCCAGGCCAGGAAGGGCCTCACAGGTGACATGGGGAGCGCTCCGGGTGCTTGTCCCCTCAAACAGATGTTAGCAGCAAAAAACCTGG